TATGTATATATATATCTATATATATAAATATACACATCCACTCTGGATATATATAATAAATAATTCCCCTCTCGCCCCTGCGGGCGGTCTATCCTTCAAGTTCGGGTCCTTTACCAGAGGCCTGGGAGCTTTAGAGTCCTGCGCAGTATCTTAGCTGTTCCAAGGACTGCGCTCTTCTGGACCGAGATCTCTGATGTTGTTCCTGGGATCTGCTGGAACCACTCGCATACCTTGGGAGTCACCACACCTAGTGCTCTGATTACAACTGGGACCACTGTTACCTTCACCCTCCACATGTTCTTGAGCTCTTCTCTGAGCCCTTGGTACTTCTCCAGCTTCTCATGTCATTCAGAATCGCTACATCTATCACTGCGGCCATCTTTCTCTGCTTATCTATCACCACTATGTCTGGTTGGTTAGCCATCACCATTTTATCCGTCTGTTTCTGGAAGTCTCCTATTTTAATGTCGGAACTTGTTTCTGTATATTATGCTGGCCACTTGGTTATGGTGTTGTCCTGCATAGCATTCCACATATGCCCTGCCTGCTAGCATCTTGCAGCCTACTGTTATGCTCTGGATTGTCTCAAGGGCATCTTTACACAGCCTGCACATGGGGTGTTGTCTGGTATGATAGACCACAGCCTCTATGGATCTTGTACTCAGAGCTTGTTCCTGTGCTGCCATGATTAGTGCCTCTGTGCTGTCTTTCAGTCCGGCCACTGGTAGGATTTCTGGATGTCAGCTACCTCCTCTATCTGCTGGTGGTATATACCATACAGGGGCCTGTCCTGCCATGATGGTTCCTCCACTTCCTCGGGTTTATTGCTGCCTGAGGTATTCACTCAGCACGTGGTCGATTGGGGCTATCTTCCTGATGTATTCCTGATGTCCCCTGGCTCCTTCCTTCTGCTTAGCATACAGGTTCAGGGTTCTGGACTTGGGGTAAAACCCTCAATCCATGGTCAGGAGCTTCCTGGTCTTGATGTCAGTGGCTTCTATCTCCTCCTTTGGCCAGCTTATTATCCCAGCAGGGTACCTGATCACGCACAGGGCGTAGGTGTTGATAGCCCAGATCTTGTTCTTACCGTTCAGCTGACTCCTCAGGACTTCCCTGATCCTCTGCAGGTACTTGGTGGTTGAAGCTTTCCTAGCAGCATCTTCATGGTTCCCATTTGCCTGTGGGATCCCAAGGTACTTGTAGCTGTCCTCTATGTCTGCAATGTTGCCTTCTGGTAGTTCGATCCCCTCAGTTCTGACTACCTTCCCTCTCTTTGTTATCATCCGACTACACTTCTCCAGTCCGAACCACATTCCGATGTCATTGCTTTATTTCCTGGTGGTGTGGATCAGTGAATTTATGTCTTCTTCACTCTTGGCATACAGCTTGATGTCATCCATGTGGAGGAGATGGTTGACAATTGCTCCATTCTGTAGTCGGTATTCATAGCCAGTCTTGTTAAAGATCTCACTGAGGGGGTTCAGGTCTATGCAGAACAGCAGTGGGGCCAGTATGTCCTTGGTAGATCCTGCACTTGATGGTGACTTGTGCTATGGGCTTGAAGTTGGCATCTAGTGTTGTACCCCACATTCCCATCCCCGTTCTTGATGAAGACTCTTAGGGTCCTGTTGATCTTGTACAATTCTAGACATTCCAGGATCCAGGTTTGGGGCATCGAGTCATAGGCCTTCTTGTAATCAATCCAGGCAGTGCACAGGTTTGTAAGCCTACAATTGCAGTGTCGGGCGACTGCTTGGTCTACCAGTAGCTATCTATGTGTATAGCCTATATACTATTATTAATTCATTATGTAAATCTCCAATAATCTAGGAAAATGAAGGCCATGTCAAAGTTTTTGCATGTCTTTTCCATGCTGTTATCCTTGTATAGTTTTTGCTGTTGTGCTGAAAACTCAAGGAGATGAGTGTCAGGGTCAGAGTGCTGTCTCACTGCAGGGGATTTTCAGGCTGAATCCTCCTGAAGGTTCCCAAGCTCAGAGAGAGTTAGGAGAGAGAAAAATACAGAAAATGTTGGACATACCTGTGCAGGCTTGGACAGGTAAATGCAGGACATAATGTGTTTTTTTTTTATTACCCAGATTATTTTAGAGTAATGAATTAGTTGTCCATGTTAAACAAAGTGTCACTAGTCACTGTGAATTTGTGCAGTTAATATGTACTAATACAGTGATTAATTGGATTAGTGTGATATTTAGTTTAATTCATAATTTATTTTTGATTCTTTTACTGTATATGGTTAATTTTTCAAAGCTGGAGGCATATTTAAAACGTCTTTTGGGTCTTTCACCTTCCCTCTGCTTTTACCATCACCTGAGCTGCCACATAATACAAATGGTAACATTCCATAAAATTGCAAAGCCTAAAAACAAGAAATCTTTAATATGCTCTGTGAATTTTTATTTATAGACATTTATCACAAAAATAGCTGGCTGTGTCACTGAATATTGTGCAAGTATCATTTTGTTATACCATATTCACAATGGACCAGCATTATGGTTTGGCTGGGGCTTATTGCTAAATTCTGGAAATTACTGAGGCTCCATGAGTCACCTTTTCTGGAAAAAAACAAGCATCTCTTACTTGCTTAATAGCTCTGTTTAACCCAAACCTCAATCTTTAAACTGAAACAAAAATAATCCCATGGAATTAATGTTGATGGATTAAATAAAACTGATCAATTAAATATTATATAGTCTCCTATTTCACAAATTGCTGTGAGACAGGGTTGAATTGGAATACATAGGAAGAGAAAGCTTGACAGATATTAACAATAGGAAGAGTGGGCATTAGCGAACATACAATTCAAGAGAACGTTATGTAAACAAATTCAACATAAAAAGTTATGTCAATTTTCATATGCACTGACTGACAGAATGATGTCTTGCAGCCAACCAAGACTGCTTTGGCAACCATGCTTTGGAAGGTGAGTGTCTGTGTACAGTATGTGCTGTGGGCTAAAACCCTACAAGGTCTGTTTTATAGAATTACAAAAAAAACCCCTCAAACAAACCACCTCACAGGCAACAAAGCTTTACCTATCTGTGTGCTCTCCCTGCATTTGCATCAACTTCATTCCCATGTTTTGTTTCTACCTCCAGCTGTGTTTATCCATGTGATTTCACAGAGCATCCACCTATGTTTGCTAAACCACCTCTAATGAAACCTTTAGAAGATTTATGTATTCTCTGGATAATGATCTGCGGTTAAATAAACCTTGTTTTATTCATGTTTTGTCTGTCAGTTGCAGAAGCGACTGCAGGTTCCCCTTTGGATGGAGGAAACATAGCACTGGCCATTTTCATCCTCATTCTGTTGCTGTCTGTGCTGCTGGGAGGAGTCTACGTCTATGTCACTCGGTAAGATCCTAGACCATGAAATTTATATACAAGGGTGAGACCTTAATTGTTTCTAACTGTTATTGTCTTGATAACATTTGTTTGATTAGCACAGTCTGGGTCACAGCTCATACTATGCAGGCTCTTGGTCAGAACCCCATTGGTGTCACCTTTTAACTCACTATATTGCTAAAACTGTAGCAAAAAGTTAGGGGTCTTTCACATAATCTAGACCTCAAAAGTAATGCAACATATTTGTTTCTTAGAAAACTAGAAGCAAAGTCTTTGGCAGTCGCACACTGGCGCTGAGCCATTGTGAAGGAACAGGTACTAAAACTCCGAATTTGTGTTTTTTTGTGTCTGTTTTTTCCTCATTATGTATATTAGGTGCAGATATAACTCCAACTTAAGGCTGCCTCTTATCTACCCTCACCCTTACCGACAGATCACTGTGGAGACAGAGTTTGACAACCCGCTCTATGAAACAGGAGGAGTAAGTGCTATTCAGTTAAGTTCAAACGAATTGAATTGAATTTTATTTAGATACTGCCAAAATTGCAACAACAAATACCTCAAGTGTGGGGTAAAAGCTGCAGGAGTACATTCAATGTGTCCATTCCTTTGATTTAATAATTCTCATTTCAATTACAGCAGGACACTCGAGAGTATGAAGTATCGATATGAGAATCTTCTCAAAAGATATTTGTGAAGCGTGACAAGACTGACCGCCCTGACCTAACTCCTCACACTCTCCTCTCTCGCTTCTCCACCCAGGAGGAGGCGATGTAAATACAAATAATGATGTCCAGCCCCTTCTGCATTGATGGATCCTGTTCTCTCCTTCTCTGATGTGACAGCTTTTGTAGACATTATGGGAATTATGAGAGGTTACTTGAACCAAAAAGGAGAAAGACAATTGATAGTCAGCAACTAACCAGTCTACCAGTCTGGGAAAAGTTGAATGATAGAGGAAATGGGGAAAAGGCCCAAATAACATCTGAGAACATCAAACATGGGTCATTTTCACACATGTACTGCAGTTCCTAACTTTTCTAGATAATACCTAATTGAGGTCCGAGAGTTGGATTGAACATTAGGCAGCCATTAACTTGCCAGCTGCCTAGTCTGTGTGATAGCAGGACTAGTGCACCCACTAGTGCAAGTAAATGCACGAGTGTGTGTCGTATGTGCTGCCTAATGCACACACAATACAAGCAACTTTCTCACCTAAAACACATGAATCATTTTCCAGAAAAACAAATTCCTCTGAAGTATTTCTTGTTGTGTATTACATATAAGGAAAAATATGGAAAATATTCCAGTTAGGTTCTTGTGAAATTGTCTGAAGTTCATGTGTGAAAATGGCTATTGTGGGAAATGAAGGAGGGAGGGATAGGAAATGAGAGAAATGTGGGTATCAAAGCACTTTTTAGTATATTTTTCTTGAGAGGTGAAGTTATAATCCTTAAGATTTAACAGATTTTTGAAACTATTTATCATGATTTTTTTCTGCGGTAGTCTTTGAATAGTCTCAAATTCTGTAATTCTGTAATCTCTATACATTAATTACCAGGTCCAGGCAGCATTCAAATTGTCTTTACACAAAGAAGATATTCACATAAATCAAGACTCACAAGTATGCACAGCAGAGTGCTGTATCATTAATCAAATATCCACTTAAATGTTGAGAAATTTCCAGAAAATCTGCAAAGGATCCACCTTATTTTGTAAATATAAAGAGCTGGTTTATAGAGGTTAGCAGTTTTGTTTTGTGTTCCTCTCACTGCAGAAGAACAGTTAATGTGAAAAACATCTCTAATGTATTTATAAGTTCCTTTTCTGTACCAGATTAAGCTTAATGTTTATACTCTGAAACGCTGTTGAGCTAGTTTCAGTTTGAAGACTCCAGTTTTAAAAACTGAGACTTGTGACTGTGAAACAATGAAGCACATATGGCTGCCACCTAGAGACTACTTATATATTTGAAATCACACAAGTATGTCTTTCATTCTTCTTCTGTTGGTACTCTTTTCCCGTTGCCATGCTTCCTCAGGATATGGATAATGCTAACATTACCATTGCATTTACTTTACGATTAATTCCTATCTGTGTTTAAGCAACTTTGACTGATTAGCACTTGTGTGCTATTTTCAGTAAAAATTTACCTCAGCGCACGTATGATCAGTGTACATGAATAGTCATTGTGATATGCAGGTTTGTTTGTATAGACACAGGCCGTTTCAGAAACTGGATAAAAACAGCATTTCAGAAAACATTTTTTTTTACCTGTTGTGTAGTTGTAAGCTAGCCTTCTATTAAGTTCCTGTTAAATTCAGCCTTTGACTGAATTCTGCAGAAACTCCAAGAAGCATTTTTTATGTTATTTCCATAAAGTCTCTCTGCTTTTTTCTTTTCATCTTTGTATGTTTATGATTCAGGATTTCGTATACAGTGGTCTCCAAAAGTATGCTAACAGTACGGTAAAATTTCACTTTACTTTAGCATCCATTTTTATCACATCATGCAAGCACACCAGCTTAATGGATACAGAACTTCTGCAGAATAAGAAACAATAATATGAACATTTTCAAACAGAATTTATAGTGACAACTTGTTTCAGATGTACCTCAGATGTTGGTGCCCAGTGCCCAATGGAGCTGTGTGGTACAGCCCATCTGATAAGTGTGGATATTTTCAGTAAGGTTATACTATATAATTAGTCTATTACTTAACACTAGTTAGCTGATATTTGTGTCTTTGTATTGTACACATACACTTTAGGAAAACAACATGCTAAGCATGCTCACTAGCATTACAAATTATTTTATGGCAACACTGATCTTACTTAATACATCTATGGTCTGGTAAAAGCGCCGTTTGTTATTACTATGGTAAACACAAGTGTTCTTAAATTACCCAGGACTGAAATCTTAAGGATTACAACTTCTAAAATGTCATATAGAATGCTAAAGGTGGGTTTATTTCACATATCCATTTCATATTCACATTCATGAGTCATGAAAAGTCCTGTCTTTTCGTAAACTGGAAATCAATATTTAGAAAAAAGTAAAGGTCAGTGCTTTCTTTTATTTGTTACCCAGTCTGACACAGGATTTGCAGTACTGTTGTTATATTTCTCTCACATGTAGTTCAATTGATGGACTGTAACAGACTGGCCTCAGTATTGCTGGGTCTGGACTAGCAGCGTAAATAGTGTAGCTGTAGTTAACTTATTGGTCTTCTGGTACAAGCTCAGCAAACCAACCAGATGATGTATTTATTTTGATGTACTGTACATGTGATGTTTTATGCGGATGGATAAATGTACATTTTCGTTATGAGAATACAAATGTTAACAGTTTCCCTAAATAAACGGTAAAACCTTAAAAACTTCAAAGGATTCTTTTTAAACACTGAGGTATTTTGTTTTGTCTTATTTTGTTAAAGGAAACCAATGGAAAAATGATTACACCTTTTTTTTTAATCCAATGTCTAGCCAGACAAGACATCTGATACTCCCAAAAAGTTGATTCTGTTCATCTGGACGTAGCGATTTCAGTGGAAGAAACATTTTATCACTCATCCAAGTTACTTCTTAAGTCAGCGTCCCTCCTTGTACAGGATATGACTTCCTTATCATTGAAAGAGTGGTTACTGGCCTGTAGGTGTGAATAGACTGTGGAGTCCTGGCCTGACGAGTTAGCTCTTTTGTGCTATCCACTTAGCCGGAGGTTGCTTGGTTTTCCT